GTGAGGAGAAAATGAATGGGTTGGTTGTGAAAACATAACTAATTACCTTATTACCGAAGCCTCTGAGATTTATGGGTGGCATTCAAAATGGATACTGTGGCATGTAAACCTATTTTGGCAAGGCTAATGAATGTGATAGTAATCACGATTAGTGTGGCTAAATCACACTTTTCTTGTTACTAACTTGGTCACTCATTAAGACTTGGTGTATTTTAAGACAGTGGTTCACCTCATGCAGCAAATTTTGTATTAGGATTTTCATGTACTTAGTTTCTCTTTAGACTGCAGAATTGGATTTCCATGCGATGAAGTGTTGGAGAAAAAGGCTTCCCTCCAGGAAATATCTAGCATGACATTTTTTGTGTGTGTTTGTTTTACATTTGCTCAAAACTGAATTTTTTATAGCTCTTGTGCATATTTAGTTTGTACGTTTGATTGTTCTAGTAAGATGTTTTCAAATGATTACAAAATGGAAGACTATACTTGTTAATCAAGATTGGTTATCTTGATAAACAAAAACTTCTTTCTTTAGAATGAAACTGTTGCTAGATATTATTGTTAAGCCGTAAAAATGGGGTTTTAGTTGATTACAGCTAGCCTGTTAATAATTATTAAATATGTGAAGAATACATTGCAGTAAATCTTGATTTATCAAATTCATATGAACCCCCCCCCCCAAGCTATGATATGGGGCAGGAAGAAGAAGCTGATTGGTGGTGTCACCTGGAAAGCCAGGGGATCCATGTATGTTGCCTATACATGTATACCTCACAACTCTAGTTTGGGATCTTATGTACACAGTCACATAATTGTGGTGATGTTTGGGAACACCTGAGAGGGTTTTAGCTGAACTAAACCAATCTTTATTGAGTAAAGTGATATATAGAAAGGCAAGAAAATTGAATATGTCAAAAATGCAATATAATGAAATCACACATACCTGCAAATGCAGTTGAATGCAATGAAACAATTTCTTGTGTAGGTGGTCATATTTAGCCAAATGTGTCCATCTACAGCTAGCCCAACCAAGACTCATCTGTGCATGTATTTACAATGTCCCCAATGCGAAAAAAAAAGAAGAGGGATCAGATGAGAGAGAAGGTATTGTGGCAGAGGCTGTAGAAAAAATAAGGCTGACTGGACAAATTGGGGAAGGAAGGATCAGGTTTACAAGGGAGGGGATGAAAATAAAAGGGTGCAGTTAGGGTTGCCAGTCCCCAGGTGGGAGTAGGGGATTCCCCCAATTCCTGCCCACTGCCCACAGGGGGAAGCCCCAACCCCAACAACAACTATCAGCGGCCACCCCCTCCCTCTCCTCCTGTGCAATCTAAAGGCCCCTCCAGCTGATCAGCGGGAGTACATGGGCTGCCAATCAGCTGGAGAGGGCCCTTTAAATCTTGTAGGAAGGAAGGGAGAGTGGCAGCTGCTGGCCACACACCTGAACTCCAAGCGGTGAATTCTCTGTTTGGAATTGAGGCAAGGTGTGCGGCACACAGCCCCACTTGTAAAACACCATTTGAAGGGAATCTTCCCTTTAAATGGTGTTTTCCTAGTGGGGGCTGCTCGTGCCTAAACTCTCAAGTGGTGAATTCGGTGTTTGGAGTTGAGGCAAGGCTTGTGGTGCCTGGCCTCTCTTGCAAAACACCATTTGAAGGGAACCTACCCTTTAAATGCTGCTTTACAAATGGGTGTCGCTGGCGCCTTCCAAGGGGCTGTGTCCCCAATGTGATGAGGTCACTTCTGTGTGATGTCATCATGTTGGGGACATCCCTGCCCCCTCTTGGACCCCCTCCCAAAGTAACCCTAGGTGCAGCCTTGGAAGTTTTGGGAGGAACAGAGAGAGAGGAGCGACACAATATGGATGTGCTGGTTGGAGTAGAAAAGAGGGGGAGTGCATTCTGGCAGAAAGAGAGATGCCTCTGGATTGAACATATGAGAAAAGGGAAGAGAGAGGAGGAGAGCAAGGAAGAGAGCCGGAGGCAAGGACCTGGAGGAACTGGGCTTAGAGCAAGAACAGTTGGGGCAGGAGATAGATAGTTTCATACATTGCTTGATCCTGAAGCATGAGCATTGCCAAACGGTGTGGTGAAGGAGGGACAGTCCTGAGGTGAAACTGAATCCAACATGCCAGGCTAACTAGGGGGTCTTTTATATTCAGAATCTGTGTCCTCTTCTGCCAGTGGCAAGAAAAAAGTTTTATGAGTACTTCAGGAGGGTCTTAATGGGGAAGAACATGAAATTATTCTGCTAATTGAGGACTTGATTAATTTTCTGAACAGATTTGTAATGCTTGAGTGGAATGGACTATCAGGTTATTGTCCCACAAGTGCTGGGTAAGGGGAGATCTGACAAACCCTTGTTGAAAAAGTGTGACCCAAGCATGACCTGGAGGGAAAAAGATACTCCATTCCTGTGATTCTCTAACATAGCAAGACAGTCCCATTACCTCGTTTTCCATCTCTTTTTTCCCTTCTAGCATTTTCACTAGATTGGATGGATGGAGCAGTTCTCTTAACTATCACATTCTACAAGCAATGGGGGGGGGTGCTACCTCCCCTTTTATATTTATATTATCAGTTCCAGCCAGCTTTCTTACTACCCACTTTTTCTCAGAAGTCATTCACATAAGATGCTGATGTGTGACCCCTTCTCCACACACAGACTGCGTACCACCCTCTAAAATATCTCTCACACACAGGCTCTGGGTTACACATAGGTCAGGCCATCACACATTACTACCCTCCTTGTTTCTATTAAAATATAGAGAGAGCTATGACCATTTCGCACCTCAGGTCCTCTCTCACATTCACAGAGACATCACTCACTCAACACTTCACAAAGTTATTGGGATTGGGGCTCAAACACTGTTCCATTCACACACAGCCACCATTTATTCATATCCTATACACACACATTCACACACCGAGATATTTTGTGTGTGTATGTTTCTTTCCCTGAGACACAAAGTCCATGGGGTTAAACAAACAAGGAGTTAACTTTTATTTGTGGTTTTATTTGTGAAGAAAGTAAGGCCAGAGGTAACAATATTTCTTTTCCCTTGAACTTTTGAACAGTTTCCCTGTTCCACTATCTTGGATCTTCTGTTACAAACGGACTTTTTTTTTTTAAAGTCAACTAGCTTTAAGCTGATCTGTGCTTCGGCTTCACTCAATCAGATATCTTCTTTTCCCTCTCAACTCCCTAGCTACCAACTCCCAATTCCTCTCTTAACTTCTGTTTTCTAACATTCCATCAGCTTTCATTGGTCACTCCTAAAGATAGGGGGAACCTAATCTGTCCATCACAGCTGGTAACTACAGTTCACTTACCCATCCAATTAACTCATCATGAGGCTCACTCACATCACCTCTCTCTTTTCTCAGTTCTCCTCCCCCAACACACTTTGCATTTTCAGAGCCAGTGTGATGATGGATTTCCCACACACACACACACACAATTCTGTTGCTAGTGGTTGATTATTTATTTATTTATTTATTTTCGGATTTCTACCCCGCCCTCCCAGCCAAAGCTGGCTCAGGGCAGCTTACATAAAAACAAATAAGTTATATTAAAACATAAGTTACAATTAAAACAATTTTAAAACCATAATAAAGTGCTAGTAGTTGTTTTTGTTCGTTTGATGGTGGCAGCCATTATTCGATGTTCTTAACTCACAATCAGCTTGCAGTGTTCATTTTTTATTGTCCTTGCAGTGCTTGATGTCGTTTAGGCTGTTGGTAGCAGTTTCAGGGGTCAGAGTCAAGGAAGAGATTGGAAATGACAAGGACAAGAGAGAAGAGCTGTCCCTCAGCCATGAATTTTCCTGGCAACATCTGTCCCATAAATAGTTAGCATTGGATAGATGAGTGAGCAGTCCTGAAAAGTAGAGTAAGTTTAGAGAGGCCTGGTTTCAAAACATTTGAGCAACATTGATGAGTATAGAACTGTGAAAATAGGAGCAATAGATTTTGTAACTTGCAATTTTATTGTATTTTTTGCAAGCTTAAGGTAAAACGAATAACGTCTTTGAACAATATTGCAAGCTTGCAGGGAATTATTAGAAGCCAAATGTGATGGAATTTGTGGCAAATGTTTAGAATATTCTTGGTAAAGATATGTTGATTAATAAACATGAGCCAGAAGATGCATATTAATCTATTTATATATAAGAGTTTTCTAGCTCATTAAAACTCTGCTTGGCATTTCAACTAGCGAAGCAGTAGATAAAACTACTCATTGTCTTTTATCTTGTTGAGGGCTCTCATATGAAAAAAAACCAGATTATTGCTAAATTCATTTAATAGTTCCACTGGTGACAGTCTTCTGAGTATTTTACTGACATGTAAGCAAGTTCTAGCCCATTCTATAATATGATAGAAGCCTTTGTTGAATTTCCCATTGTGATCTCATATTGATTTGGTCGATATGAATAGGAAAAGAGGTTTGGTTTTAATGGCAGCTGTATGAAGTCAGTCTGGGAACAGTCATAAAATCATAATATTTATTGCTTGCAGTTGTGCCAGACTACGACTTTGAGATATCCTGTTGTTGTCTTCAGCTGGTATGGAGCCCAAATAAACAAAATTAGTCCCTCAATTATATGTGCTATATATGCAGAAAAAAGATAAATCACCACACCCAACACTCAAAGCTTTGTACAGTGTATACATCCCCTGAGAGCTGATGAGGAAACTTAATGCAATGGGAGGGGTTAATTTTTGCTAAAGTTGATAGTATTTGTCAGCTCTAGGGGGTGTGAATGTGGACAGGATCCACGTATCAAAGCCTGTGTTCCTTTTTTCATATCCTTTATCATTATTACACTACTTTTAATGGAATTGCCATATTAATTTTATTTCTCTTCAGGTCAGCACATATTGAGCTATAAATGCCTAGAAATGTGTGGTCCTCTTCTTAAAAGTATATGGCTTCAGAGCCAAATATCAGATATTTATTCAGAGTGTAGCATATACAAGTAATTATTTTCCTTATTTTTACAGATCCTGTGCGAGGTCCAAGAAAACTGGAGGTTGTAGATATTAAATCCAGGCAAATCACTATTACCTGGGAACCATTTGGCTACAATGTGACTCGTTGCCATAGGTACAACCTCACGGTCCATTACCGCTACCAAACTGGTGGACAAGAACAAGTCAGAGAAGAAGTGAGCTGGGATACTGACAATTCACATCCTCAGCATACCATTATTAATCTATCCCCGTATACTAATGTCAGTGTAAAACTTGTTCTTATGAATCCTGAAGGACGGAAAGAAAGCCAAGAAATTGTAGTACAGACAGATGAAGATGGTGAGTTTTAAAGTTTAAAGTTAGCCATATAATATGAAGCCATGTACTTTCCTAAGTTTTGACTGAATGCATTTAATATGAATATCAACATATTTAGCAATGGTTATATTTGCATAGTCATATAAGTTTTTGGAGGGAGGAAAGCTGTCCAGTTTTAAAGGATGCTGAGATTTGACATGTGAATATTTGGTTCCTAATCTGCTGGTGCTCTGATGGCCAGTTATTTAAAAGGATGGCTACATCTGCCTCAGAATAGTGAACTCAGCTACTCAGGATTCACTCTGTGAACTTGATATCATAACTCTGTGTAGCCAATCGCCTTTAGCTATGAGACAACATCACAAAGTCAACTGAGAGAGAGGGAATTGCCCTATCTATGAATGAACAATTTCACCCCGTTTCAGTGCATCCTTTGAAAAATCAGTGGAGCAGTTTTTACCAGCCATCCACCTAACTTTTTAACAAATAGCTCTGTTTCAGCCCTAAGTTATATGTGCCAACTAGGGTTGCCAGGTCAGATTGATCTGGCTGTGGGGGAGGGAAGGGACTTTCTGGGTAGTGTGCTAGTGTGTGACGTGTGCACGATGTAATGACATCACATGGAAGTGCATCATCACATCAGCGATGCCACACAGTGACGCTCTTGTATTTTTGGCAAAACTCTATGGTTAACTTTTACCCAAAATATCAGAGTGTCACCATACATCATTTCTGATTTGATGATGTCCCTTCCATGTGACATAATTACGTCATGTTTGGGGGTGGAATTTCCCCCCATTGGCCAGCTGGTCAGCAGTGGGGAAGAGGCCCAAAAATCAGAGGATCCCTCGCCCTGAACTGGGGAATGGCATACCTAGTGTCAACACATAATACAAGTTACCTATATTTGTTTGTAACTTAGCTAGGGACATTACTTGTCAAAACAAACAGTGTGTTAAAGAGGAAGTACCTCTTTAAAAGCAATACGCTTAATTCCATTGAGATTAACATTTTTCTTTTAGCAGAGGAGCTCTGCTGGGCACAACCCAGAAGTGATAAAGGGTACTCTAGGAATTGCTGGAAACTCTTTAGTTTCTTTATGAGAAGGAAATGTACATATTGTAACGTTTTAATTCACTGAATATATAGTCTTTTAAATATATTACTCACCATTTTTATATTGCTTGCCTTGGAATTATCAGCTTTTCTCTATTTATTTTCCTTTACATCAGAAATTAATATATAATGTTAAAAGTTTGAAAAGGGGTATTTAATTGAATTTTTAAAAGAATACCATCAAATTTAACAAGGTTGTGTGTGTTACATTCCAACTGGATTTTAATAAAAAATAAACAGTGTAACTAGTTTGGTGCTGTTGCGTGAGTAAGAAGCACTTCCATGGTTCCCTCTTGAGTTAAAGCTGTTCTCGAGTAGCTGTTCAGAAGGGGCAGGTAAATACAATCAGAATGGAAAGGTATCAAAGGTCTGCTCCATGAGAAAGTCCCCTTATTACAGTATGCTTTAAGAATTTCAAGGCATGAAACAAAATCTCTAATGGGCAGAACACTCAATTAATATATTTTAAAGATTTCTGATGGCTACTTAAAGGTTTTTTAGATTATCATTTTTTTAATTTGCTGCCTTTTTATCACTGATTTCACTGAGCATTTTTATAAAGTTATTGATTTCAGTAGTCATAAATGGAGTTACTGTGTCTGATAGCACTGCTAATCTACTGCTTTTGAGCTTTTACTACTTTTTGCCATTAATATATTGTTTATTTAATAATATTCAATATGTGAAACTACATAATACATACCATATAATATATTACCCATGCTTTTTCTACTTTTATTGTATGTCTGCTGATATTTAATATTTGTTCTTAAATTATTATTTCATGTTTCTATAGTTTATTGTACTTTGGTTTTTTATTGTAAACTACCTTAGTGCCCTTTGAACAGAAAGGCATGGTATAAAATGCCTAAACAATTATAAAACATTACTCAACAAAACACAACTTTTACATTCCGTTTGTAGTATTAAAGAGGATTTCCAATAAGGCCTGAAGAAACATTTATACCATTCTAGT